TAATTTCCTGACTACAGTATTCCCCAATCCAGTGATGATGAGAAGCAAATGGATTATTGCAGGTAGGGGTACAGGGATATCTTCCTAGAGCCATGGCAATTCCAACTGCCTGTAAGAAATAATGAAAATTCTCAGTGCCAAGTCTCACACTGCCCAGGAGTACTGTGCATCAAACAGAGCTTTTGTGCTCTCACCTTCAGCTCATCAAATACAAAACACAGAAACCTACCTGCCAGATCTGACGAATTCACAACCAGTTCCTATTCTGGCTGCAGAGTAAAATTCTTTGCCTGTTGTGATATCCAACTGTAAGCCTGACACCTCTGAGGGCTGTGGGAAATAACAGGTACACATTCAATTTTCATTTAGCTTACCAAGGGTAAAAAACTTGCTTGAAAACTTTTTCTTCCCCATAATGCTTTTCATTTCATTCCTTTCATCAGCCCTCCACTTGCTTCTCTACCTTCTGTGCCTCCCAGAACAACATTTCAGCAGCATCGTTGCCCACTTTAGGCAAGACAGCACTGGAAACACATTAAACCTGACAGCCAGATCTGTTGATCTGTTGACACTGGACACTGAGGTCATTATTAAGACTTTGCAGTGGAGTGTGAGCTGGACAGTGTTGGGATTAGATTGCTTTCTCTGTATCTGGAGGTGAAAGCCTGATGAAGTGTTGGACTGTGTTATCAACAGAGCTGGAGGCGAGACAAAAAGTGCAAAATGACCTTTTCTTCACTTTATTTCTGTTCTCACAAGTTAAGAGTGGTGCAGCGCTTCTTAGCACAGCTAACTCTATCTGAATTTATTTGTGTTAATCTAAAAGGGGTTAAAATTCAACCCACACTTACACAGATGTACCAACACTGAAATGAGCTAAGCTATTCCTGATAGGATAATGCAACGTGAAGTAGAAGTTGTCTCAGGAGGTCTCTCTGTCATGGTTTACTCACAGGCTGTAAGATCTGCAAAGCGGAAACAGATCTACATCCAACCTGGCCTTGAACACTTCCAGGGATGGGGCATCTACAGCTTCTCTGGGCAATCTGTTCCAGTAGGTTTGTTTTGTTTCAGCCTGAATAACAGGGACAAAATCTGCTAGTGGTGATGAATGATTTCTTTCCTGCTTCCAGCACCACCAAATTCCTCATAACTACCCTTCCACAAGGCAGAATGGGAGTTCTCACTGCAGCAGCACTGGTCTCTTCTGAGCTGTTTAGCAAGACTTGAACTTGGGAGCCACTGGGGATGACCCTGTGGCTGGCAAACAGTTGTCTTTTTGGGTTTTGGTTTTGTTTTCTTCTGTCCTAGACTGTCTTTTCATGACTGATATGTAGAAATAAGCCACAGTGACAGTCACATCCTGATCTTCAGATAAACAAATTGTTCATCTTTCATGAAGCAAAATCAGGGCAATGACAGAGGAGAGGCTGGATCCTGAGGGATGTATGGCACTGTTCCATTAACTCATTTGAAATACATCTTGCTGACAGTACCAGTGACAGCACAAGCAGGTTTCTGTTGCTTAAAATCTATCATAGCTGCTTCAATTTCAATGGGCTTTTTCTTAGCCATTAAAACAACTTGTTTGTTTGTTTGTTTGTTTGCTTTTAGACAAAAAGTACAGTTGTTTTTAAAGCATCTTCTAAGTTTGGCTACGTTTAAAATAGCTCACATTAAAAATATAATACAGCTGCAATGAGAAAGATACAAAAAAAGTTTGAATGAAATTGTTTTGGTAACTGGAAATTGTCTGTAAGTTTTGTATAACTTTTTGTCAAGATTTTAATTTAAAAAACCTCCACTTTCTGAATCCTATGAAATGGAATTTTTGATATATTAAAACACTTCAGGAATTTAAGTGGTGGGGGTTTTCTTCTGTGGGTGGCTCATATCTAGAAATACATCCAGGCTTGCTTTACATTTACAGCTGCAAAAGGCTTAAGAAAACTCTGTTTCTTGAAAAACTTGTTGATATTTACAGTCATGCTATCATAGATATAATTCCAAACATTAAATTACATGGCCTGTAAACAACAACAACAAAAAAGATATTGTTTCATTCATTCCCATGTGTGTTGCAAAATTTTGCAATGTATAATTTTTTGATATTATAATGCAAGGGGCACACATTGTAATTCTGGTATCTAATACTGATGGGCATTATTTACAAGTGGCTAGAGTAGCATAAACCTGGTGCTTTGAAAACTATTGTCTAGATATTCTCCTGTTTGTTTGTTGTTTTTTTGGTTTTTTTTTTTTTTTTTTTTTTTTTTTTTTTTTTTTTTTTTTTTTTTTTTTTTTTTTTTTTTTTTTTTTTTTTTTTTTTTTTTTTTTTTTTTTT